GTCAACTTTATACCCTCAAAATCGGGACTTTAATTTAGTGGATTCAATATTTTTAGTAGCTAGAATATAGGTAAGGATATATACACTGTCCTTATTGAGTATGAATCAAATTGTGACTTTCTTTCTAACGTTATGGATTTTTTGATATGAAGCTAAATGACCCCATTTGTTGTCAAAAGCGATAGAAAATATCGTTGAAAGCGGCATTCAAAAAATCGTCGAATGATTTTTTTTCTAAATGAAGTCACTAAAAGATGTATCTTTTACAAATATTTTCCTTTAATTTCATATGCATTGAAGGGTTTTAAGGCAGTCAAATAAAAATAAGTACGCTCGATACTAACAGCACACGACAAGGAATAACACGGAAGTCAAGCGCGAATAATCAACAAGCAGCCGTGAGCGAAAGTAGTTATGAGCGTACTTATTTTTATTTGACCCCAGGCAACCCATAAAGTACATTACCCATCTAAACAGTCCAGATCCGGTTACAGCTTATGTATCCACAGGTAACCCAAGCTAGGTTTCTGTGGTGTCATATTATAAGTGAATGTATGGCGATGCTTAAAAACCTCAAAAGTTGTCAAAATCAGTTAAATAAAGTAAAGATATCTTAGATGAAAATTGAAAATTTGAGAAAAACATCTTCAATATTTTGGGAGTAAATTTTTTTTGAAAGCGGTATGATTTACAAAGAAATGTATGGTCGTGTGACAAGTCTTGTACATTTCAAGTCAAGCACAAATTTTCAGTCGTTACTAATTAAGACATTCTCTTTCGATTTATGAAGATGGTTTGCTTGTAGCTTAAATTTTTTTACGTTAATGAGACAAAAACGAAAATAAGAATCGGCCTATAAGGGTTTAGCTGAAGGCTCTCGGCCAATCAGAAGCTTGACAGTGAGGAAAATGTATAATATATTTTTATAATATGGTCGTGTGGCAAGTCTTGTACATATCAAATCAAGTACAAATTTTCAGTCGTTACTAATTAAGACATTCTCTTTCGATTTCTGAAGACGGTTTGCTTGTAGCTTAAATTTTTTTATGTTGATGAGACAAAATCAGAAGCTTGACAGTGAGGAAAATGTATAATAATTTTTTCTTCAATCAGTATTGCGTATATATAAAAATAAAATAAAAATAAAAATAAAAACCCAACAACAACAACAACAACAACAACAACAAACAATAATCAGATAGTGGTATTTAGTCAGATTTGAATTCATATGAAGGATTTATATTTCGCCTTGGTCACCAACCAACCGGTCTTTATTTGATAGCTCGTCAGACACCTCTCCATAGGAACTAAAATCAACCAGATTGGAACTCATTCTCAATTTGTGTTTAATCTTACCATTGAGATGTAATCAATTCAGCCACAGTTTATAAGAGAGAGGATTACGGGCAGTCTYGCTTAACAAGGCTTTCTGAAGGTCTTCTTCTGCCATGATCTTGAAAGTCAAAAAAATATGTCTACGCTTTTGGAAAGTGGCCGCACTTTTATCTGCGTTAGGGACAGTGGTCTTCTTTCTTAAAAACGAAGACATGTCGTTACGAAATGAACCTTGTCCCACTTACGGCAGGAAGGAAACTAGGAAGGTATACGCTGAGAAGATTTCAAACACTCAAGATAACAAATCTCCGAATTCTACTTTCCTGCCAGTCACAGGTTAGTTTTTATTAAGCGTTCTTCCTGTTAAAGTTTTTTTTAAAGAAATGTTCCGTGCTGAGAATCCCAGTTTAGTTTTCTTGCAGTTTATTCGCTTAATTTCTGGTTGGTCAGTTTGTGATCCTCTCAATACTATAGAGGTCATGCCACGGACGAACCATTAAATAACTGATAGGGGCTTCAGGAATTTGTTTTGCACGATAAACTAGTTTCTGTAGTATACAACCCCTAGTATACATGTGTTTTCTGGGAGTGTTTGCTCAGTTGATATTTCTTTTCTAAAAGGGAAGCGGTTGCGTCTCCCAACTTGCTTAGCTTGTATATAAGACATATAGACATGGGTTTAGGATCTTCATGTTGATCGCCCACAATTAATGGTTAATTTGATCGGTCCACCAAGTCTCAATCAGTTTAGTTGAAGATTGACAAAACATCTTGGCTGATCAGACTCTTTCCAGTGTTTACTCTCTTATATCTTTATCTCCGGCATATAAAATCAAGATTTGACTCAAGAAGCTTAATTGATAAAATAATTGATAAATAATCATCAAAGATGGGCAGACGGTTATTAATGGAATTATCCTGACGGTCACGACTAGACCCGAGAAAACATGGACCGACCGGACGTAGAAAACATGGACCCTGGTAGAAAATATGGACTTGGGATCAGACGCATCTGGATACCTTATCTGTATGTCATATTGACGATCAACATAGTGTAGCAATTTTTTTATCTTTTTAGATACAATTTCAAAATTTCATACGCAAACTATTCCTGCCGGTTTTTATTCTTGTACGGGTGATGATCGACATTTTCTATCTTTAAAGTGACTGTAACGTGCCGCATACACTCTATTTAACGATATTGTTAATCAGCTATGGGTGAATAGCATTCTACACTGTGCACGTATTAAAGTCTACTGCCGTCTGTCGTTTTAGCGGCTTCAGGACAATACTTTGATTATGAAATGTTATTCAAACGGTTTAGACATCGAATTATTATTGCAAATGTCTAGACCTATTGTTTGAGCTGAGTTTCGATGTCTGAACTAGGCCTAAGAAGCTGATCTAGTTGAGCAACAATATCGTTAAATACAGGAAAAAATGATAAAAAAAGAGATAAAAAGCACACTAGACTTAGACAAACACCAAGCAGCAGCAGCAGCATTAAACGTGGCAGCGATGATGTCAGCTCATTTGCATACGGAATTAAAGTACCGCCTTTTCTCAAGCATCAACATCAAATTTTTAATTCAACCTTGGATTATCTTGAAAACATCGTTTGAAATTCGGTCCTTTGCGTAAGGAGAACACTTCACGAGTTTTTTTAGGTTATATTTATATATTACTGAGCTTTCCACTGTTTCAAACCCTCTAAAGTACTTTATTGAGTTTAAATACACCGAGTGATCAAATTAAATGAATCTTATTTCTAATCGATTTTCTCAAGGGATGATTTACTATTCAGTTCTCAAATATCCACATCAAATTAAAAACTTTTAATTAAGCTTTGGGTAATCGTGGAAATATCGTTTGAAATTCGGTCCTTTGTATAAAGAAAACACTTCACGAGTTTTTTTTTTTAATTTGTTTTTCAGGTTATAATTATGTATTACTGGGCTTTCCACTATTCCAAACCCTCTAAAATAACAGTATGTAACAGTAATGATAAAATGGTAAATTTTACACCACGTAAAGATGAAAAAACTGACTTATTGACGTTTCGGACGCTAGTCCTTCCTCGGCGTAAAAGAGCGAGTTTTTTCTTCTTTTCACGGAGTAAAATTACCCTTTTATCATTACTGTTCCATTAGAAACACCGACGCAGCTCACACTAGTTTTTAGCTAGTTATATCTTATATACAGTATGTATTTTTAAGAAGTGGCAAAATACTCCAAATGTTCACGGTTAATTCGAGTGTCCTCATTATAAGAAAAATTCTCAGGCTTACAACAATATATTAAACTCGTAATCAAAGTGGAAAATATTCAGAAACGCATAGCAAAGAAAAATCTAAAACGGAAAACAAAAAAATAATCGTGTATTATGAATATATTATGATCTTAAATAAATAAATAAATAAATAAATAAACAAATAAACAAATAAATAAATAGGATTTAGCAGTGGCATTTCTACGGAAAACCCTCGAAGCACAGAAGAGAACCAACAAAATGTTGGACACTGAATAGTGCATTCCAAGACCGAAATGAATTGTGGGTCATAGTGACATTATCGAAAAAGGATTTAATAATTTATTATATATTTAGTGTGTATTCCACCAGAAACAATATAGAGTGCAAACAATACATCCGTGAAATATTAGTAATACTAACTTACACTATTAATGCTATTTCTATTGTTTTCTTTTGTTTAACTAGCACTATTTTGAACAATTTAGTAATTAGTGTTTCACGGGTATATTGTTTGAACTCTACTAACTACAGGTTGAGAGTTAATTGCTGTATATTTACTTTTTGAATTATTCAAATTAACGAGACCCACAATGCCCTTTTGTCTTGGAATGCACTATTCAGTATGCAGTATTCAGTGTTCAACCCTTTTTGAAATACCTGTACGACAATCGACAATGGCAGTGTGTAAACGTTTTCGTGAATTTAATCATATTGTCAGAGGATGAGACGAAAAGAAGAGACTGCAGTGTGCCTATAGACGATGCTTTTCCGTTATGTAAAGTCAAATTCAAGGTAAGTTTCTTCTATGATTCATACATGGGCTATCATGATCTTCTCGTGAAGTCTTCATTAAACATCTTGTTTGCACCATGTCTTTTATAGTGTTGTTTGTACCCAAGCTAGACCACAATGCATCCTGTTTATCGAACTCAGAAAAGGTTTAAGAAAAAAAAAAGACTTTAAATAAACTTTGTCTAGATAGATTCCTCCAACCTAACATCCATTGTAGACCTTGGCAAACTAATAGACCCAAAGGTAAAAAAAATCCGGTTTATTTTCTGTCAGTGTTTTAATTGTCCTGTAGGACTGAAGTTTTTCATGTCTCCGAAAACAATTCTGTTTAATTTGTTGTTTACAACGAGCTGGATTTTTGTATTTTTTCTCGACAGGAATTCAAACAAACATGGAATGAATATTGCCACGGGAAAAAGTTTAAAGTGAACATCAATGATCCTTGCTCAATTCTTGTCTATCTGAGTGAGGTATGAGGTGATAGACTCCTTCGACCATGCGGCGGCGACCTTGAATCGCAAGGCATTATGGGTAGTCCAAAGGGGCAAAACAAAAGAAAGAGGCTGAAATGATGACCCCACGACTTTTAATTTACTCAGTTGTGGAAGTGTTCATTTTTWAAAAATTCATTTTTTGTCAAATTGTCTTGTTACGAACCGTAAATGACAGTCGACGCCATTATAGTAACGTCTATGGCCCCCTGGATGACCCACCTTGCAATTCAAAATGGCCGACACATCATCGAAGTAGCCATTAAAATAAATGAATGTATACACCTAATTGAAAAAACGTTGTCGGGTTCAAAAGAAGGTTATATCATCAAAGCAAAGACTGAAGGGGAGCATGGGAAGACAAACAATTATGCTAATTTCATGCGTATTGCAGTTTTCCCTTCCAGTGCACATTTTATGAATCATGGCTTTGGCATGTTGTTAATCTAGGTCGACTGACTTTGCTCTACTGTGCATTTTTACATGTCTATATGCAAATATAATACACATTTCGGAGTACCCAAACTCCTTTTCGGTCTTAGCTTCGATGATATGACCTTCTCGAACCCGACTACGTTTCTTCAATTAGGTGTATAACACGATATGAAAAATTTACTCCGTTGTCCTTGAAAGCCTTTTATCAAGGTTGACTTTAAGAAGCTAAACGACAACCATTGTCGGTACTAGATTGTTACTGGTGCCATAGCAACTGTCAGTAACGTTTTGATGGCAATTCAAAAGAAGTATATAAAACATTTTTTAAAGTTTTAAAATGTAAATTTGTATAAAATTTGTGAAATAATAACGAGTCCTTTACGAGTAACATTTGCATATCTATCGGGTTAATATATAGATGATCTAGGATCAATATTAAAGTTTGTTATAATTTGTTGTTAAGTTTATCCTGATTATTGTTACGTTTGATACTTTATCTTTAAGGTTGAACCGTGGTGTCCTAGGTTACCATGGAGACAAAATGGAATTATTCCCTCGGTGGAGCCGCCTAAAATCGTAAGCAAACGTTAAAAGAGGGTTTTGGTTAATATTATGGCCAGCACTTGTAAAACTGACATTCGGCCGAAAAATTAGTAGTTAACTGACAATTGGGGGTAATTGCTAAAAAAAACTAGTGTCGCATGGTTTGTGGCAGATTACGTTACCATGACTGCAGATTAGTCACGTTAAAAAGCCATTTTGCTTTCCCGGTAGCATGATGCTTACTTTATTTTTTCTTTCTTTCTTTCTTTCTTTCTTTCTTTCTTTCTTTCTTTCTTTCTTTCTTTCTT